ATAAGCTAGGTACATTATTTCAGCTCTTTAGAGCAGAAGAAAATGCCTTCATCACACATTTCTGTCTGTATATCATCCACAGTTGTATTTCCTACATTTCTATGAATGTAGAATATAGATTTCTTCATTCATCCATAGCTAGTTTCTGGGCACCTACTATGTGCTAGTCACATATGAGATTTTTAAGGCTACTCAAACCTTGTTTTCATGTACCTTTCAATTTAATAGGGAAATCCAGTCATGGAAACAAATCAGGTCAATAAAATCATATAGTTATTATGATTGAAGTATATGCAGCATACACAAGGAGACACAAATGGGATGCTTTAATTCTGCCTGGGAGAAAGGAAAAACTTTATGAAGGAGGTGGTCTTTGATGTGGTTCTCAAAATTTGATTGATTTTTACAGACATTCAAGAAGGAGAAAACTTTCCTTAGACAAAGAGAAAGGAGAAATACAAATACGTTAGTGTATAATAGGTCAGAGGATGAGATGGTTAATTTACTGAGTAGCAGACATTTCATCAAATACTGGGTATTTAATATGAGATACCCAGTGAAATATCAATGCATGTAGGAGTATAGGCAGAGCTGTACATCACAGTGGCCCACCTCTGACTCTTCTGCTTAACCTTGAAGACACAGATCTTCTCCCCAAATGCAGATTCTGTAATTAGAGAAGATTGTCTTTGTTAATTCCATCCTTAGACCACGGTCCTTGACCACTCACTTTTGTCACAGATTTCAAAGGCTTAGAGATGTTGGTCCTACACTGAAAAGGGGTCTATACACCTCTAGGGCATGTGCCTCTGCTTGGCTGTTGGCACAAAGTTTGTATTCAGGTCGATAAACTCACATAAGGAAGTCTTTTAGAATGGTTGGAAGTGGGCATTGCAATGTGGTTAAGGACATAAAGTGGGATAACAGACAGCATGCATTCGGACCCTAGGTATGGGATCCAAGGAAAGACACTCCACCTTCCCATGCCTCAATTTCCTTATTCATAAAATGGGAATAATAATTATATTTGCTTAACAGAGTTTCAGTAAGGGATATAACACTTGACAAACTTCTTCCATTATTTAGATTATTATTATTCAGTAATGATGGTGAAATCATTGTCCCTAGAGCACAGATAATGGGGTCAAGGCCGTTGTTCATGGAAACCTCACGTACACCACTGTGCCCAACCTCTTCAGCCAATGTATTGTTGAGACGACATTTGAGACTTTGACATAGACTGTCCTCAATGGTCAGTTTAGGTTCATATTTAAACAGTTTGATTTTCATGCCCTTAGAGGTAAAAGGAAATAGCCTCTATCAAATGTTGGTCAAAGCTAATTTTATGATTAAAAAAATAAAACCTCTACATGACATTAAATTTCTTAAAATCCACATACAAAAATACTGACCACTCTCCCATAAATAAATAAAGAAGTCCCAGCATGAAAATACATTAGCTAAAATAAGTGTTTGATCCTTTCAACCAAAGCCCATTTTCTTCTTCCATCGAGAAAGCCTTGAAGTGTGAGTATTACACTACTTGCAGATTTCTATGTAGGCAGGGGATAAATAGTCCGCTTCTGTAATTAATAACTATTAAAGCTGTTTGACTGATCATATCTTTGGGCTCCTGAAATCTCTTCTGTGCAGGTGTGCATTAATGGAATCCATTAAATTCATATATTTCAACAGATAGTAATTTACGATCCTTTATCAGATCTGTCAGGAGCCGCAGCAGGAGATACAGGACTGTCTCGGGGCATTACAGAGCTAACCGGGCTGCTTCCCTCAGAAATGACTCGCCTTTAAGTACTAAATACGAGTGTCAGAATGTCAATGCAATGGGCAGCCGCATTAGGTGCATTCTACATTTGCTGTCTGAGAATATGTAGAATAAGCTTTTTGTCACTGGTGAAGCCCTGAACAGCGCTGAAAAATTTCAGGCACTGAAGGAAAAGTGTGTGGGAGTTCTAACCACTTTATGTTTGCCATAAAAAGGGAGAAATTGAGAATACAGGAAGGCTTGGGGAAAGAAATGAGTTTTCCCAGGGGTGAATCCGCTTCCCGTAGATAGCAGGGGTTGCAAGTGCGTGTAAGGGGGCAGCCTTTCCATTTTGACTAGTGTTTCCAAAGAAAATAGAACTTAGCCTTGACCTCTGTTGGGTCCACCCTCTGGTTCAGCCCAAAGAGAAGAGCTGTCCTCTCAGAGACAGGCTGTCCCATCAGCAGGGACAGGTTTCTGAAGTGGCAAAGTAGTCAGCTACTTTCCTGAGGGGCTTTTAGGGCGTAGAGCCATGTTTGGGAGGTGAAATGCTACTTGGGGATTTTAACTGAGGTTTCATTAATTGAAAACAATCCTGGAATAACCAGTAAAAATATCATATAATTATCAACTATTAATAACTTCTGAGGGATGGTTAGCGGCGAACGCGGGGGAAAGAGGGTCAGAAGTTGTCCCGAGCCAGCAGGTGCAGGAATGAGAACATCTGGGAAAGTTAGAAGGCAACAACCTTTAAAGTTCCCTTTCATATTTTGTAAATGCAGTATAAATATTTTCAGTGACTTTGAAAGGGGGAGAGAAGGTTGTGGTGAGCTCAAAGCTCATATGATTACAATGAACTCATCTATTTAAGGAATGTTTTTCCTATTCAGAGAATCCTCAAAGCTATGAGATGAGGTTGGCAGGCCCCATTTTAAAGGAGATGACTGAGTCCTATCCCTATTTGAAAGCTACTTTATATCTCAGGGTATGGTTCATAGAGCTTCCCCTGTCCTGGAGTTTCCTGAGAAAACAGATGGCGACATCCGCTTTGTGGTTCCATCTAACAGATCAGCTGCACCAAGATTGTCACTTCAAGCAGGATCCACAGTGTGAGAATGTGAGCGCCCTCACAGGGGGAGCAGGGGGTTGTGTCCTGTTTTATTTTTATTTTTTTGTTTGTTTCCTTGTCTTTGATAAAGATATATATGTGTATGTATACACACATACACATAAACACATATATGTGCATAATGTGTGTATATCATACACACACATGTATATTTCCTTGGAATCTGTAGAAATCTTCAGTATATGATAAGTCCCATTTTATGGAAACTGAATATTTACGAAGTAGATGCATATGGGAATCATTTACTTTTTAACATTCTTTTTTTGAAAGCCATCTTATTTACCATAAAGCTACCCATAGACAATCCAACACATTTTACTCCAAATCATCAAACAGGAATTGTTCAAATATAACTTTTCTACAGATGTGAAATAAAACTATGCTGTAAAGCTAAGCAAACTAATCTACCCATTTTCCGAGAGGCAACAGTATTTTTCTTTTTTTGCAGTTTTTGGCCAGGGCTGGGTTCAAACCCGCCACCTCTGGCATATGGGACTGCCACCCAACTCCTTTGAGCAACGGGCACCAGCCGGCAACAGTATTTTTTAAATTAACCTTCTTTTTTGAACTTTTATATTATCTTTTAAGTCGAGGTATAATTTACATCCAATGTAATATATGTAGCTTTTAGGCCATGTGTGGTCGTTCATGCCTGTAATCCTAGGACTTTGAGAGGGTGAGGCAGGAAGACTGGCCTGAGCCTTGAATTTGAGGTTACAGTGAACTGTGTTCACACCACTGCACTCCAGCGTGGGCAACAGAGTGAGGAGTGAGTCCCTGACTCTACCAAAACAAACAAACAAATAAAACACTTTAACCATTTATTTAATTAATTCAATGACTTTTAACAAAGGTATCCATCCACACCCTCACCACCCACTGAAGATACAGAGCATTTTCATCTCCTCAGAGCATTCCTTCCCTGAACCTTTCCCGTGCAGAGGCAATTGCTGTTACAATTTCCGGAACGTCACACAAAAAGAATCTCACAGTGTGTTCTCTTTTTTGTGCATCTTCTTTGACTCAACATAAAGTTTCTGAAATGAATCTGCATTATTCTATGTGCTCGCAGTTTGTTCCTTTTTTCATTGAATAGTTTTCATTGTGTGATCAGACCACAACTTGGCACTATTCACTGGTTAATAGACATTGGGAATTTTTTCTGTTTGAGGTTATTATGAGCAACACTGCAATGAATATTCTTGTATAAATCTTTTTGTTGGTATCAGCATTCATGTCTATTATAAAAATATACATGTAAGAGGAATCTCTGGGTCATACATAGAAAACATATATTGATTTTTATAAGATACTGCCAAAAATTGCTTGGAGGAGTTCTATCATTTTTCAATTTAAATATAACAAATAGTACATATTTATGGTGTACACAGTGATATTCAATGCATATAATGTGTAATGATCAAATTAGGGTAATTAAGTAATTATCTTATCCAATACCTCCAACGTTTATCATTTCTTAGTGTTGAGAATATTTAAAAATCCTCTCTTCTATTTGAAAATACACTCCTATCTAGTTACATTTTTTAAAATTTTATTTTTAATAATTATGGGTACGTGTTAGTCATATATATTTATAGGGTACATGTGGTGTTTTGATACAGGTATACAATGTGAATTGATAAAATAAGGGTAATGGGGGTATCCATCACCTCAGGTATTTATCATTTCTTTGCGTTAGGAGCATTGCAATTTCCCTCTTTTAGTTATTCTAAAGTGACCCTAACTTATGATTGGTTATACTCACTTTTTTATACTGTCAAATATTGTTCATTCCATCTACCTAAATATATTTTGTTCCCATTAATCATTTCCACTTTAACCCTCCACTCTCCATCACTTTTCTCAGCCTTTGATAACCGTCATTCTCTTCTCTGTCTCCTTGCATGAGGGAAGCATTTGAGATTTGCCTTTCTGGACATGGCTTATTTCACTTTACATGATGGTCTTCAGTTCCATCCATGTTGCTGCAAGTGGCAGGGTTTCGTTCTTTTTTATGGTTGAGTATTATTCTGTTGTGTATATGTACCACATTTCTTTATCTCCTCATCTGTTGCTGAACATGTAGGTTGATTCCATATCTTGGCTAAAAATATGCACTGCTTCATGAATCTTCATGCCCTCTGTGCACAAGGGTCACACTAATCTTCTCTGTATTGTTTCAATTTTAGGATAGATGCTGCTGAAGTAACCACTAATCTCCTTATTTCATTCATCATATTTTCCAATACCTCCAGAGATATTACAGGCAAGATTAATCAGTGTTAATTACTTACATTAGACTTACATTAGAATAATGATTCAGGTTATATCTTTCAAATGATAATTTGTCAAATGAATATTCCAGAATACCTGGTAAGAGTTAAATTTACAGAGGAAAATAAGACATGGTCCTAGCTCTTAAGAAACATGTTTATTGAGAAGGGCTAGAAACTGGCAGGGTAAACATTAGTGAAGATGCATAAACCAGTGTGGGGATATGAGACCGTCACCCAGCTCTTAACAAGGGCTGGGGCGGGGTTTCAGAGTCCTGAGGACATTTGATCTGAGTATTCATTAGGTGTCAATTATGTTCAGATGCTAAGTGAATGGAATTGGATTTTGTAAGAAGAGAGACACAAGGTCAAAGCAGGAAGATTGTATCCAATCTGGAGCCAGCAAATTGACAGTGAAAGGGAAAGGAATTAATATCTGCTTCACACCTATTGTCTACCAAGTGCTAATTCTCCCAGCAGGTTTAGTTCAAGCATTTTTATCCCCATATTATAGATGACAAACATGAGTTTCAGAGAAGTTACTTTGCTTCCCCAGGCTCAGAGAGCACTTACGAAGAGAGCTGGAGTGTGAAGGTATCCTATCTCCTTCCAGAGTCATGCTCTGTCTGTTCTCATGGCAGTCGCCTTCTTGTGCAAGAATGGAAAGAAAATAAGATGAAGAGACAATGAGGAATGGCACCACAGTCCATGTGGGTTTAGTGGCTGAGATACATTATGCTTCCTTTGGAAATGGAAGCCACATAGACAGTGGAGCATCAACAATGTAGGCTTTAGGATTAGAGTTGCCTGGGTTCATATTCTGGCTCATACTCTGATATGATATAGCCTTGTTTTCTTTGATTATGAGCTTAGTCAGATGCAGATCAGCAACAATAATGTCCATTGCATCAATGTATAGTGTTTAAATAAACATAGCACATAGTAGTCGCTTAAGCAATATGATTTCAACTTTCTCCTTAGATTACCCAAAGAACAGCTATTTCTTATTGTTTTGCAGCAAAGAATTTTATCATGAGAAAGAATTGATAACTATCAAACAAAAAGGAGTCATTTATATACTTTTAAATGATGACCAAATTCTGTGTGCAACCGGTTTTGGTTCCTGAGTAGACTCTGTCTTGATTCTTCTTTTATATTTTTATGTTTGGGACATTGTGACAACACCCTAAAATACTTCAAGAGCCACACTCGTATTACCTTCATGAAATTAGTGTTAATTTTCTACAATCACATTTAGACTACTATTTTTCACTATTTTGGATAAAGTTTAGCTGATTTGAGCCTCATTTATATTTACTCTTGAATTTACAATGCTTAAGAAGAGTCAACCTAAAGACTTTGGGTCATAGTTGAGAGCTCTCACCAGTTCCACAGGAGGAAAAATCAGAAGTGGTCTCTGACATGGAGCAATGCTATGGTCATCAAGTGACTATATTGACTTAAGATCATGACAAATAAAAATAAAACACAAATTTCAATTACTATTTGGTCATTTATAATCAAATGAAGTACCCACTTTTCGCATAATCCATAGAGAGACTAAATGATAAATCTTAAGGACAATGTCCACACAAAAGATCCTAGTACATAATTAAAGTGGACAATTTCATGAAGACTTCCTTTACAGTAAAGGTGGAAACTAGAATAAAGATGAACTGAGTGTTATTTCTAAGAGATTGACTCAAGTCAGCTGATAGAATCAAAACCGAAATAGCAGAACCATTCAATTAGGGCATTTTGTGAGTGAGCTATAATCTCTTGGACGACAGTTAAACCCAGACTGGACATGACAGTAGCAAATTCACTCTAAGAAACAATTTTGGTGGTAGGAACAAGTTGGCCTTATTGCTTAATGGATCATCCCTTTCTCTATCTGCTGTGATGTGAAAGCTGATGAGATCCTGCCTGAGGCAGCAAGACTATCTCAACACAGATTGTCTCCTCCATCCACAGGGTAAACACTTTACTGGGAGAGTTAAAGTGAATTTTAGAATTATAGGGAAGTACCTAGGAAACGGATATTTTTTTCTTCAGTGAACTCTTAAGAGGGCTTGTCAGTAAAGTTCAAGCAAGCAGGTGTGCTGAAAATTGCTTTAAAACCAAAGAGACAGTAGGAGGCATGCATATGCCAGAAATCATAGTCCCCGTGAGAGAGACAAGCCCATTTTTCAGCAGGAGCAGCTGTTGGTGCATCTGCAGACAGGTTGTTGTCAGGAGCGTTGAGCAGAGAAATTTCAGGAGAAAGGTACTCACGAGAAGGGAAGAGGTGCGAGGTCTCAAGTGTACAAAATTTAGCAAGGAAACCCGAGTGATGGGCTGAGTCCTGGGCTGACATTGTTAGAATTTAGAATTTCATCTGAGATTGTGAGGCTGGATGAAAGTGGCATTAAGACTTTACATTGGCGTTTGTTAAATCCCGACCAATAAAAATTGCAGTTCACTCTAATGAAACTTCCTGGGAAGACTATTAGTATTAAACAGGGAGATTCTCCCCCCAGAAATAATGCTAAATCATAGTCACAAATAATTCCAGGTACAGTTCAGCACAAGGCAGAACATGATTGCACTTTTTAAATTAAATTCACTCTTACAGCTTTGGCAGTTGCAGTTTCTGAAATTAATAGGAATAGAACACGTGAGCCAAGGGACCAAGGGTGGCCATACTATATTAGAGGGAATGACAGTGCAGGTGATGGAGGCAGGTAGGCAGGCAGACGTGGGGGTGGGCAACATCTTTACTGGGCATTTACTTCGAGGGAGTAGATGTACTAAAAGGATCAGGACTGTAAAAGAATTAAAATTACACAAAAGCATTGATTTTAAGGCTCAAAGTAAAGCCCTGTATATTACTATAGGAAAATTTAACTACTTCTTTTAATTTCTCCCTGAGCACTATAAGGACTAAAGTTATCTGATATTCTTTGTAAGACCTGTGCCTGCTAGCAAATTGCTGATCCCTACATAGGTGCTCATTTCTTATCTTTTAAATGAAATGATAAACACATATTAACAATAAATAGTATGGTATTCTACTTCATTATCAGCAACCATCTCTATTCCATAAGCCTCAATGTGAATCACTTATTGTGAATCACTTACTGGAATTCAATAAGTAAATCATTTATTCACGAATTTAGCAAATATTTGTTAAGCCTTCCAAGTATGTACCAGATGATAATTTTTTGAATACAGAGATTAACAGCACTTGATTCTTCCCCTCAATGTGTTCACTTTCAAATCAATGAAAGAGAAGAGAATGCATAATTGCAACACAGAGGAGTTAAGTGCTATAGTATTCATATTTATGAACATGTACAGGGAGCCTGGCACTCAGCCTGGGTATTAGGATTAGAAACACTGTCAGAAGAGGAGAATCTAGAACCTTTGGGAAATGAGTGATGACCAGCCAAGTGGACAGGGCTGGGCAGGATGTTCTAAAATGCAACAACATGAATACAAACACGTAGCATAGGGAAAGTGCAATTAGGGAACTAGATGGAGATCAAGTGAACCAAAAAAGAAAAGCAAGCAGAGAATCACAGGTTGAGAGGAGTCTGAAGAAACAAATTGAAGCCAGAAGCTGAAGTGGGTGATGCTAAGGTGTGTGACAGTAGTCAGAAGCTAATAGAAGATTTCAAATGGTAGTAATGTGAACAGATTAGCAGTTCAGAAAGATCTAGTGGCATTGAGGAGAATGAATTCTAGTGAAGTGAGCTAGGGGTATGCTAACCATTTCTGGAAATTATTACAATTCTTCAATAGAGCAGTAACCAGAGCCTGAGCTATGGATGGTATAGGATAGATATCAGGTGATGATATGAAATTTGGGGGAAATAATGTTTGTAAGACATAAAGTAGATGGAGGAATGTAGAGATGGGAGGTAAGGTTTAGGAAACATTCTTCTATGCACATTAAAAATACTTACCTATCTAGTATCATAAGAGTTCTATTAGGTAAGTAATAATGTCATGCCTATATTATAGATGTGTAGATGGAAACAAACTCAGGCAGATTAATTTATTGTATAATACTTATCAGAGCATTTTACTATAGCATCTTGTTGCAGATTGCAGTATCTCACTGAAGCAAAAAGAAGAGTTAGAATCAAAACCACCATCTGTGTTCTTTCAAGCACCCTATCCTGGATACAGCAATTAGAATCAGGTGCAACAAAAGATGGGGGTCACATCTGTATAAACCATGTCCTCACCAGCCAATGAGAGAAACAATACTACAGAGAAAAACATAGACTCTAGTCCAGATGGCAAGGTGAGTCCATGGTTGTCTCATCCTCTCTCCTTTTAATAACTGTCATGGTCATGTGTTTATTGTAGTGAGTGGCCTTGGAACATGGGTACTTACAATGGTGGTTCTCAAAAATATGCTTAAATAGAATGATAAAAAGCAATATTCAAAGCACAGTGGTAGAATTTTTTCAAATTGATGAAATTCAAGCTCAAGTGTAAAAATTTAAAACTTCTTTAAATTATAGATTGGGCATAAAAGAAATCTATCCCTAGAAAGATAATGGTAAAAATGAGGAATGTTAAAGTTTTAAAAGACCAGTTTAAAAAAAAAATAGAGAGAAAGAGAAAATATTATACAAACAGAAAGAGTGTGAGGAACTGAGAACAACATCATCACCCATGGTGATGGTGTATAAAAGTTTTTTCTTCAAAAATATACCATTTTGCTACAATCTTATATGTCAGCAATAATGCATTTGAAAAGTAATTGCAAAGATATCATTAAAATTACAATGAAAATGAAAAGGTACTAATAAATAAATTAACAAATACATATATATGAGACATAAAAATTTAGGAAAAGTTACAATAAATTTTGAAGAACCTAGAATAAGATTTATATAACTAGAAACCTAATGCAATAATAATTGCATGAAAATTTGTTAAT